TATATATATGTATATACTGGAGATTTTTTTCTGTTTGGATTCAGTATGATACATATCGAGATATAGCTATAATGATAGCGCACTTTTCCAACGTTTGACATATGGAAACATCCTTACGTAATATCTTTCAGAAAGCTTTCAAGCGTTTGGAGTGTTTAATGCCCAGTTTTTCAGCATCTGGGGTGAACTGACTTGAACGAATGCTTTCGACGAACTTAAAAATTTTCCAAGGAGACCCAAAGATAATACTTTCGATTGAAAATAGAGTTTACCGCATACAATTTAACACCACGTGTCCCAAATTTTATTTAAATTGTTTGTATCCTCACAAATCAAACCACATGGGGCAAAAACCCGATTAGAAATAAAATATTGTTTACAGATTGTACAATTACAGCTTCAAGTTACGTCCACGTAAACAGGAGTTAGTGTTTAAATAATACAAACACTTTAAATCTGTTGATAGTTCATTATAGCAGTCATCCTTGAAGCCCCTGAGAGTCCTTTCTAACGAATACCTGTTCAATAAAAAACAAACTTTTTATCTCTTTGTAGTAATTACACACCTTTCCTTTTTGTTTCAGATTATTACAGAGTTGTGGTTTGCCAGAAATCCCCACCGAAGCTCTTAAACCGTTAACAAAACTTCACACTTTGTAAGTAGATTACTGTTTCCAGCATGGCTAATGCATGTCTAAGTGGTTACTATGACTATGGACAAACACTTAAGATGGCTCAGAGAATAACAATTACCTATATGTCTAATACGTTAAATTATTTCATTTCATATTTATGTAAATTGGACATATGTGCGGAAAAATTAATAAAGCTACTTTAAAAAACTAAAATAGTACTAAACTATTAATTAAATTTAATTTTTTGAGTAAACTTCTTAATTGTTAAACATCGACTATATTAAAGGAAGGTTCTGAAGGAAAAATAGAATATTTACACCACTGAAAAGCTTTCTAAAGAATATTATAGAAAATGGCTTAGAAATAAACTCTTTCTAATTAAAAAAGTATCAATGATGTTATTGTTCTACTTTCTCATGTTCAAATAATGAACATTTTTTTCAGATCTTGGGAATTTATGAATATCCAAAACGAATCCTTGAATATTAAAACTAATAATGAACAAAAAGTGAATTTTTATAAAACATCTTGTGCTATATGGGAGAACGTCCTGTATGTGGTTACTGTTTTTCTTAATATAAGTACGTTGTTATGATTTTCTCGGTCCAGAAGGATACGTTTATCCTTCGGGTCCCCTTTCGGCTTTTAACATAAACGCGTGAAAACTCAGTTCCGCAGGACCTTTCAAATTGCTTCTTGAATAAACCTCTTTGCTCTAAACAACCCGGTAAAAGCCTACTTCCCACATCCTCGAGCAATTTCAGAAGGCGTCAAAGTTTCAAAGAGACGGAATTCGAATTGCCGCCAGTCCTGGCCCCTTTCACATCTAGTTTTATGGCCCGCCTGCCTGCAGATTTATTTTGTTGTCGCGATTTAGTAAAAAAAAAAAACAAATTAAAACTTTTCAATATTTTTTTATTAAAGTCATTTTAGAGCTTTCGGAAAAATAATCATTGACGTGCCTTTTAGTTTCATATCAAGCGTCTCGAAAGGACGATTAATCTTTCGATAAATTAACAAAATTGAATGACATTTTTCACGCAAGAAATAACATCCAAGCTTGAGAACGATAAGAAACGAAAGGTTAAGAAGCAATAACACATTGAATAATTGATTTAAATTAATGAAAAGCCTTTAAACTTCATAATTCATATATAACATCGACTGGAAACATCGAAGTGTATAAATCAGGGCGCAAATACTTTTGTTTTCTCTCTAGTGTTTGAATGTTATGTTTACAAAGAACCGGAGAATTATGCAAACAAAAAAAATGATAGATAGCTTGACGTTCAACCTCATCCCATAAGTTTTGCGGAGTTGCATAACAGATAAAACAAGACATGTATCTTCCACAGTAACGTATGAATAAATCACAAAATTTTAAACTGTGTTCGTTTTATGTCATTTTCTGATGCAAATCTTGAACATAAAAAATATTGAATATTAAATTTTAGACGGGCAAAAACCCAAGTAGAAGTGAACGAGCTCAAAATGTCGCCGTAATATAAGATTATAGAATATGTACTTTGTCCTAATATGCTGCTTTATCTTCTTTTCTCATTCGTTTAATATTCGTACGTAGGTAATTTAAACTGATTTCATACTGCTTTGAAAATTGTAATATCACTTGCTACCGTTGCAATAATAAAAATACAATCCATGGGATATATCGTTCACATTACTTTCAATTTAACTTTATGGCGAATGCGCCAATGTCACAGAATATTTTTCATATCAGAGGTAATTGTTTATAATTTTCCCTTGTATTTTTTCAAATTATTGAAGAGGTAGTATTAAAGTTATGGAATTTGACATAAATAAGGCCGATGTTAATTTTAACCACTACCGTCTCATAAATTTACTAAATTAAAACGCAATTTTCTTGCTAGAATTATTAGAATTAGATAAGGAAAATGCTAGAGCATATTAATTTGAATACTTAAAAGCAAAAGGCCTATTTTTTTAACGATATAAGAAGGCACGTAATTTGGCCTTATTAGGACTATGGGTTTTAATAGCATGTACCTACGAATATTTACAACTTCAAACATTTAGACTTATAAATTCTCAAAATAAATCCACAATATTCAAATAGAGGTATTGTTAATCCAAATAAATTCAAAACGTACTTCTAAATTCCTATCAAATGAAGTCAAATAATGTTTTTTTATGTCAAAAATGCAACACTTTTGACACTGTCGTTTTAAAATTTTAGCCTAGAGAAGAACAACTTGTCTGAGATTGTAGGGAAATTCTTCAGTTTTCACCAGTTACAACTGCCTGTGTCGTTATGACACATGTTTGCGTTATACAGGGTGAAAAAGAGTCACCCTGTATAATTTGAATTTTATATTTTTATATTTTGGAGCCTATAGTGTGTGTAACTTGGAAGTTTTTAGTATTTTACTCTAAAGAAGTAGGTCTAAGTGACATGATTTTTTTGTTTGTGGAGTCACTTTTAGTTAATTACGTGAAAAAAAAAACAGAATGAACATTTTGTTTTAAGAACAAATTACAAAAACTTGAGAAGAAATACTACATGACTTAACATGACTGATTTAATTGAAATATCCTTTTTTTGACTGTATCCCAATTGGGTACTTACTTTTTCTATCTGAGAAGCAAAACTAAGTTTGTAAAATCCTGACTGACCTTTTATGACGCAAGAAGTTGTTAATAATTTATTTTTTCAATGCCTTCAAAATATTCAGTTAATTAAAGTCCTGAAAATGCGATAAATGAATAATTACAAACAATAGGTAATCTGAAGCCATGTTAAGTGTTACAATTCCATAGCCGATTCATATACGCATCTCTTTTGTTGCGTACATACATACTTGAAGTACAAGTAATTTAATAAAAAATATATAGCCTAATAAATATTATTTATTTCATTATAAACAATATTTATATTGTCATTGAACTTTAGAGGTATTATTTTAACATGTGCAAGCAGGATAGTAGCTTTTAGTGCCTTTAAATATTTGTATATATTTATATATACGTAGATATGTCATCGCTAGCACTAATTTATGTAACTAGTAGTGAGGCGAAGGTTCTAGCAAATAGTGCTGTTAAATATAGACTGTTTTACTATAGGTGTAGAGATATAATTTATTTAGTTAGCGTCTCTGTAGGCTATTTTAACAAAAATAATACCATAGATCATTTAGAATGTCTTGGGAAAATAATAAGACAAGTATATTAATTTTTGTTCGAGAATATAATATTTTGTAATGATATTATATGATATTATGATAGAAAAATTTTTAAATTTTTTATCAATAACTAGAAATTCTAAATAACTAAGGTGTTGTCTGCTTAGATTTTGATTAACTACTTTTATTAATTACCTTTTATTTTAACAAGTAAGCTTTGAATATTTAAAAACAAAGCATTACTAATTTTATAAGAATTATAAAACTATAGGTATAAAATTAACAGTTAGTGGCTAATGAATTAAATTTTCTCAAAATAAAATATAATTTGTTCAATACCTCAATAAAATGAGACAATTCGTGTTCAGCTAATTAACATTTAAATGAAATGCCTCATGGTAGGGCACATCATTATCCTTATTGCTTATAATGTGAGGTTTAACACATAGTTTTAAATAGAAACTGCTAATGCTCCCCATTTTCAATTTGTGAGGTATTAAATGAAAGAAAAAATTCGAACATCAGCAATTTATCCATCCCATTGATCACCTTTACATTTTAGAGGAGAAATTTTACAAATTTATCAATTTTACTCGTCGACAGATGGCCCTAGTTACATCTTATTGGTTGAATGCAAAAAAGGACTTTTTGGCACGTTTAAAATTTTTAATCTGGTAAAATGTCTAATGCTTAGGTAACTAAATACGGCAAAATTAGTTGGAAGTTATGGATAAAAGTCCCATTACAACATTTCAAATCTGATTTGATTCATTATTTTCTATCCATTTTAGTGATATGGAAAGAACAAAAAAGGTTATCTGCTCCCACTATTAGAAATATTTAATGAACATTACATTTTATTAATTATTATGAATGAATATTTATGATAATTGTACAGTTATTACATTAAGTAACATTTATAAAATATGGATAATTATTCCCCTCGCGTTTACTAATTGTCACCTTTTTCTCAAAATGATTTTACCGCTCCATTTCAGTCAACGGAAGCTCAATATTATCTGACTTATCCATTAAAACAGCATGATGGGACCTACTACTAGAACTTGGAGTTGAAGTGTCATTGTAAAGAATCCTGTTAGTTATTTCATTTTTGTTACTTAAACTGTCAGCAACATAACCTTCTGCACTTGTGGCTGATTTCCATCCATCATGTCTCTAGATTGCTAATACATCAACTTCTGTAACGTTGCCGATGTTCTTCGGAATGAATGGCCTGTATATGTTTCAGGATGTTCTAGTTTCAAAAACTGTGCAACAAAGTGAAAATATTGCTTGCTCGTACTAATTCGTAATAAACAAAAATAAAAAAGTTAACACGGGATGTTATTTATTAACGATACAGAGGTAATAATTCAGTTTCATTATTTCCTCGAGAAGGTCGTGATTCGTTATAGAAAAGCTCAGGATTGCCTTGAGGCCCCTAAATTACTAACCTAGATATACCGAAACTACAAACTCATAAAAATTAGAGCAGTATTACTTCGTGTTTGCACGGCCATAATTTATGACTGGCTCGGATGCTTATTGAAAAATACGACGTCAGTAAAATACAATCTAGACACCTGGCCAATTTTCAGGTTCNATTAAGAAATGTCAAAAAATAAAACCTAATCCTTATTTCATGAACCATAAATAACTGTGGGAGCAGATAAAATGTTATACACCACGCAGCAGTTAAGTATAATTTACCAGTCTCGGACTCTATTGCCAGCCCTCGCTCTGCTCGGGCGCAAAATCGTCCTCGACTGGTAAATAATATATTTTATTTAGAAGTTACAAGCATTTTAAATAATATAATTTCATATTTCAAAGTAGCCTGATAAATAAAAATGAAGATTTCTATAACAATAAATTAATAAAGTTTCGTTACAATAGAGCTTGTAGAACACCTTGTATACATCGCGTAGGGGGTGTAACTGGTGGTCTCTGCCAATAAGAACAGAATTATTTTTATTTTTTAAACTGCCATCCATAAAAACAGCGGTTTCCTGTTAAGTCTCATGCTTCTCTTTCTTTTGAAGTATCACACATATTTAAAAAAGGTCACTGCTTCACAAATGAGGACTGAAAGAAATAGGATTTCAGACGCTGATCATTTTAATTTCATCGGTGACCTTTTTTGTCTGTTAATACGAGCCTGACGCATGAATATTGATATCATATTTACATACTAACCAGTGCATGCCGAACCGTTTTCTGTGTGTGCGCGTGTTTGACCATCACCGGTCTTGTTGAGCCAGACAGGTGGGCGGCAACGAGATCTGGCGAGTGGACGACGACGCTTTCGAGACGGCACCGCAGCTGCGCAGCCTGCGCCTCGACGGCAACCGGCTGCGCGTCGTCCCCGCAGAGGCATTGACCGCACTTAAGCATCTCGAGGTCCTGTGAGTATCAGGACCACCAAGCATTCTCCCCTATCTCTTGTACCGCTCACGATCCCTCACCTTTACTCTCCTGTTGGTAGATCAACAACTTTGTTTCAGTACTACGCGAATGACACTCAACAATTATCGCTAGTAGGCAAAATACGGTATGTCGAATTAACAAATTCTCAGTCCAATGACTTCAGGAATTTTTAAAATACTTTATTTTGGCTGTACAGGATGACACCTAAGTTGAAAAAACAAAAAAAAAAACCAATATTTTCTAGGAATAAAAACAAAACAACGGTAACACAAAAGACTCGAACAAACATTATTGATTCATTTACACCCGACGGCGTACCGAGATTCAGGGAATGCGAGATCCATAGCAAAATTTGGAAAGACTGTATCCATTATTAAATTAACCCGAGACTCTAAAACTAAGTAGACTGCTCAGTGTGGAACCCAAGGAAAAACTGCCTTTTTTTCGGAGATCTCTCCTGAATTCGACACCTCGCTTCGACACGCCCATTTCTTTTGTCCAGAAGTTTCTGTTCTTATCTCATTGGTGGAATCCCTGAATATCGTGGGTTGAAATGGCTTAACTATACCATATTGATATCTAATTGACTGAATTTACAACTATATGGATAATTTTGAGATTAAACTGAAATTATAAGTAACCCAGCACCTTCCTCTTATGACTCCGATAGGAACACGGTACGGATTAGTCAATCTCAGTTAATCTATCCATACAGCTTAGAAAATCCGCCTAAAAACCAGCTATTTGATCTACATATTATTATTCTCACAACATTCTAGCATCTTATTTAAATATCTTGGAATTTCTACGTCTTTTCGAATGTATTTCGCGCGTTATTAGAAATATCGATTTTTTACGTCACCATGGGCTAAACCGTCGCTCCCAGGTGTCCAACATATGGCCCCGACGGTCTAAGTCAAATTGTGCAAAAACATTGTTAAAGGACCCCGCAATAATCTTATAATTGGTACAACAAATGAGACAATTCGTGTTCAGCTAATTAACATTTAAATGAAATGCCTCAGGGTGGGGCATTATCCTTATTGCTTATAATGTGAGGTTCTACACATAGTTATAAATAGAAACTGCTAACGCTCCCCATTTTTAATTTATGTGCTGCTATTAATTTTTAATTTGTAGGATATTAAATAAAAGAAAAAAATCGAACATCAGCAATTTTTCTATTTTTATTTTTTAAACTGCCATCCTTAAAAACAGCGGTTTTCTGTTAAGACTCATGCTTCTCTTTCTTTTGAAGTATCATACATATTTAAAAAAAGGTCACTGCTTCACAAATAACGACTGAAAGAAATAGGATTTCAGACGCTGATCATTTTAATTTCATCGGTGACCTTTTTTGTCTGTTAATACGAGCCTGACGCATGAATATTGATATCATNATTACAAACAATAGGTAATCTGAAGCCATGTTAAGTGTTACAATTCCATAGCCGATTCATATACGCATCTCTTTTGTTGCGTACATACATACTTGAAGTACAAGTAATTTAATAAAAAATATATAGCCTAATAAATATTATTTATTTCATTATAAACAATATTTATATTGTCATTGAACTTTAGAGGTATTATTTTAACATGTGCAAGCAGGATAGTAGCTTTTAGTGCCTTTAAATATTTGTATATATTTATATATACGTAGATATGTCATCGCTAGCACTAATTTATGTAACTAGTAGTGAGGCGAAGGTTCTAGCAAATAGTGCTGTTAAATATAGACTGTTTTACTATAGGTGTAGAGATATAATTTATTTAGTTAGCGTCTCTGTAGGCTATTTTAACAAAAATAATACCATAGATCNATTTTTATTTTTTAAACTGCCATCCATAAAAACAGCGGTTTCCTGTTAAGTCTCATGCTTCTCTTTCTTTTGAAGTATCACACATATTTAAAAAAGGTCACTGCTTCACAAATGAGGACTGAAAGAAATAGGATTTCAGACGCTGATCATTTTAATTTCATCGGTGACCTTTTTTGTCTGTTAATACGAGCCTGACGCATGAATATTGATATCATATTTACATACTAACCAGTGCATGCCGAACCGTTTTCTGTGTGTGCGCGTGTTTGACCATCACCGGTCTTGTTGAGCCAGACAGGTGGGCGGCAACGAGATCTGGCGAGTGGACGACGACGCTTTCGAGACGGCACCGCAGCTGCGCAGCCTGCGCCTCGACGGCAACCGGCTGCGCGTCGTCCCCGCAGAGGCATTGACCGCACTTAAGCATCTCGAGGTCCTGTGAGTATCAGGACCACCAAGCATTCTCCCCTATCTCTTGTACCGCTCACGATCCCTCACCTTTACTCTCCTGTTGGTAGATCAACAACTTTGTTTCAGTACTACGCGAATGACACTCAACAATTATCGCTAGTAGGCAAAATACGGTATGTCGAATTAACAAATTCTCAGTCCAATGACTTCAGGAATTTTTAAAATACTTTATTTTGGCTATACAGGATGACACCTAAGTTGAAAAAACAAAAAAACACCTATATTTTCTAGGAATAAAAACAAAACAAACAAAACAACGGTAACACAACAGACTCGAACAAACATTATCGATTCATTTACACCCGACGGCCGGCGTACCGAGATTCAGGGAATGCGAGATCCATAGCAAAATTTGGAAAGACTGTATCCATTATTAAATTAACCCGAGACTCTAAAACTAAGTAAACTGCTCAGTGTGCAACCCAAGGAAAAACTGCCTGAAAAACTGCCTTTTTTTCGGAGATCTCTCCTGAATTCGACACCTCGCTTCGACACGCCCATTTCTTGGGTCCAGAAGTTTCTGTTCTTATCTTATTGGTGGGATCCCTGAATATCGGGGGTTGAAATGGCTTAACTATACCATGTTGATACCTAATTGACTGAATTTACAATTGTATGGATAATTTTGAGACTAAACTTAACTTATAAGTAACCCTATACCTTCCTCTTATGACTCCTTATAGGAACACTGGACGGATTAGTCAATCTCAGTTAATATATCCTTACAGCTTAGAAAATCCGCCTAAAAACCAACTATTTGATCTATTATTATTTTCCTCACAACATTCTAACATCTTATTTAAATATCTTGTAATTCCTACGTCTTTTCGAATGTATTTCGCGCGTTATTAGAAATATCGATTTTTTCCTTCACCATGGGCTAAACCGTCGCTCCCAGATGTCCAATATATGGCCCCGGCAGTCTAAGTCAACTTGTGCAGAAACATTGTTAAATTTCATGAGGCCTTCTCCGAAGGACGGCTTTGCAAATTTATTGCGACGCTAAACCTACTTGAAAACCCTTAACTTTTCAATAATTATTGTTTACTCAAATATTTTACTGTCTAAGTTGTCTTTAATAATGTGTTATTGACAACACTTGTCAAAATTGTTTGATTGAACGAGTACACAAGACTAAATGATGGAGCATTATTTCTATAGCCAATATGCTGACATGCATCTAATTTATGGACGTTAATATTACGATAATAAGNAGAAAAATTTTTAAATTTTTTATCAATAACTAGAAATTCTAAATAACTAAGGTGTTGTCTGCTTAGATTTTGATTAACTACTTTTATTAATTACCTTTTATTTTAACAAGTAAGCTTTGAATATTTAAAAACAAAGCATTACTAATTTTATAAGAATTATAAAACTATAGGTATAAAATTAACAGTTAGTGGCTAATGAATTAAATTTTCTCAAAATAAAATATAATTTGTTCAATACCTCAATAAAATGAGACAATTCGTGTTCAGCTAATTAACATTTAAATGAAATGCCTCATGGTAGGGCACATCATTATCCTTATTGCTTATAATGTGAGGTTTAACACATAGTTTTAAATAGAAACTGCTAATGCTCCCCATTTTCAATTTGTGAGGTATTAAATGAAAGAAAAAATTCGAACATCAGCAATTTATCCATCCCATTGATCACCTTTACATTTTAGAGGAGAAATTTTACAAATTTATCAATTTTACTCGTCGACAGATGGCCCTAGTTACATCTTATTGGTTGAATGCAAAAAAGGACTTTTTGGCACGTTTAAAATTTTTAATCTGGTAAAATGTCTAATGCTTAGGTAACTAAATACGGCAAAATTAGTTGGAAGTTATGGATAAAAGTCCCATTACAACATTTCAAATCTGATTTGATTCATTATTTTCTATCCATTTTAGTGATATGGAAAGAACAAAAAAGGTTATCTGCTCCCACTATTAGAAATATTTAATGAACATTACATTTTATTAATTATTATGAATGAATATTTATGATAATTGTACAGTTATTACATTAAGTAACATTTATAAAATATGGATAATTATTCCCCTCGCGTTTACTAATTGTCACCTTTTTCTCAAAATGATTTTACCGCTCCATTTCAGTCAACGGAAGCTCAATATTATCTGACTTATCCATTAAAACAGCATGATGGGACCTACTACTAGAACTTGGAGTTGAAGTGTCATTGTAAAGAATCCTGTTAGTTATTTCATTTTTGTTACTTAAACTGTCAGCAACATAACCTTCTGCACTTGTGGCTGATTTCCACCCATCATGTCTCTAGATTGCTAATACATCAACTCCTGTAATAGCCAGTAACGTTGCCGATGTTCTTTGGAATGAATGGCCTGTATATGTTTCAGGATGTTTCAAAAACTGTGCAATCTTATTAGAAATGTCAAAAAATAAAACCTAATCCTTATTTCATGAACCATAAATAACTGTGGGAGCAGATAAAATGTTATACACCACGCAGCAGTTAAGTATAATTTACCAGTCTCGGACTCTATTGCCAGCCCTCGCTCTGCTCGGGCGCAAAATCGTCCTCGACTGGTAAATAATATATTTTATTTAGAAGTTACAAGCATTTTAAATAATATAATTTCATATTTCAAAGTAGCCTGATAAATAAAAATGAAGATTTCTATAACAATAAATTAATAAAGTTTCGTTACAATAGAGCTTGTAGAACACCTTGTATACATCGCGTAGGGGGTGTAACTGGTGGTCTCTGCCAATAAGAACAGAATTATTTTTATTTTTTAAACTGCCATCCATAAAAACAGCGGTTTCCTGTTAAGTCTCATGCTTCTCTTTCTTTTGAAGTATCACACATATTTAAAAAAGGTCACTGCTTCACAAATGAGGACTGAAAGAAATAGGATTTCAGACGCTGATCATTTTAATTTCATCGGTGACCTTTTTTGTCTGTTAATACGAGCCTGACGCATGAATATTGATATCATATTTACATACTAACCAGTGCATGCCGAACCGTTTTCTGTGTGTGCGCGTGTTTGACCATCACCGGTCTTGTTGAGCCAGACAGGTGGGCGGCAACGAGATCTGGCGAGTGGACGACGACGCTTTCGAGACGGCACCGCAGCTGCGCAGCCTGCGCCTCGACGGCAACCGGCTGCGCGTCGTCCCCGCAGAGGCATTGACCGCACTTAAGCATCTCGAGGTCCTGTGAGTATCAGGACCACCAAGCATTCTCCCCTATCTCTTGTACCGCTCACGATCCCTCACCTTTACTCTCCTGTTGGTAGATCAACAACTTTGTTTCAGTACTACGCGAATGACACTCAACAATTATCGCTAATAGGCAAAATACGGTATGTCGAATTAATAAATTCTCAGTCCAATGACTTCAGGAATTTTTAAAATACTTTATTTTGGCTATACAGGATGACACCTAAGTTGAAAAAACAAAAAAAAAAACCAATATTTTCTAGGAATAAAAACAAAACAACGGTAACACAAAAGACTCGAACAAACATTATTGATTCATTTACACCCGACGGCGTACCGAGATTCAGGGAATGCGAGATCCATAGCAAAATTTGGAAAGACTGTATCCATTATTAAATTAACCCGAGACTCTAAAACTAAGTAGACTGCTCAGTGTGGAACCCAAGGAAAAACTGCCTTTTTTTCGGAGATCTCTCCTGAATTCGACACCTCGCTTCGACACGCCCATTTCTTGGGTCCAGAAGTTTCTGTTCTTATCTTATTGGTGGGATCCCTGAATATCGGGGGTTGAAATGGCTTAACTATACCATATTGATATCTAATTGACTGAATTTACAACTATATGGATAATTTTGAGATTAAACTGAAATTATAAGTAACCCAGCACCTTCCTCTTATGACTCCTTTTGGGACCCGTTGCGGGTTTGTTCATTTTCGTTTATTTTTTCCTTCCGGTTTGGAAATTCGGCTTAAAACCCGCTTTTTTGTTTTCTTATTATTTTTCTCACAACATTCTAGCATCTTATTTAAATATCTTGGAATTTCTACGTCTTTTCGAATGTATTTCGCGCGTTATTAGAAATATCGATTTTTTACGTCACCATGGGCTAAACCGTCGCTCCCAGGTGTCCAACATATGGCCCCGACGGTCTAAGTCAAATTGTGCAAAAACATTGTTAAAGGACCCCGCAATAATCTTATGGAAATTGGGTTTCTGTCAAATTGTCTGAATTTTTGATATGTTGTAGATTTTGTCATCCTGAACAAAAGTCTCCATGGGCACAAAGTGCCAAAATGAACATTTTGCTACGGAGCTGCCAAAGCTCCCCTGACCCGTTGCAAAACTATTCATTTTCAATACTATTTACAGATGTCAAAAGCATATTTTAATTATTCTAATATATAGGGTAATGTTTTTGAGGTCACTGGATTCAACCCTCATGTCAGATTGGACAAATTGACCGTTGACAGCTGTCAATACACTGTCAACGAAGAATAGAAAAGTAAATATTCTCTTTTCACATTGAGAGTTTGGGTTCTTGAGGTCGCTGAATTCAATTCTCATGCCAGATTGGAAAAATTGACAGTTGACAGCTGTCAATTTTGCCAATCTGGCATGAGAATTGAATTCAGCTCCCTCAAAAGCCCAAACTCTCAATGTGAAAAGAGAATATTTACTTTTTTGTTCTTCGTTGACAGTGTATTGACAGCTGTCAACGGTCAATTTGTCCAATCTGACATGAGGGTTGAATCCAGTGACCTCAAAAACATTACCCTATATATTAGAATAATTAAAATATGCTTTTGACATCTGTAAACAGTATTGAAAATGAATAGTTTTGCAACGGGTCAGGGGAGCTTTGGCAGCTCCGTAGCTGCCAAAATGTTCATTTTGACACTTTGTGCCCATGGAGACTTTTGTTCAGGATGACAAAATCTACAACATATCAAAAATTCAGACAATTTGACAGAAACCCAATTTCCATAAGATTATTGCGGGGTCCTTTCTCCGAAGGACGGCTTTGCAAATTTATTGCGACACTAAACCTACTTGAAAACCCATAACTTTTCAATAATTATTGTTTACCCAAATATTTTACTGTCTGAGTTGGCTCATCCGTTCCAAGAACTAACAAATAAACTACCACGCGTTCCGGCTTTTGTTACAAATGCAATAAAATACCAGTCATTTTTGTGTCTTTACTAATGTGTTATTGACAACACTTGTCAAAATTGTTTGATTGAACGAGTACACAAAACTAAATGATGGAGCATTATTCCTATAGCGAATATGCTGACATGCATCTAATTTATGGACGTTAATATTACGCTAATAAGCATACCAATTTTCTTAATAAACTTTTGATTAGTTGGACCTATTTACGGAAGTACGTAATGCAGTTTAAGAACGACACAGTATAGTCTGTGTTTTCAGATTTCGGAAACCAATTTGAACAAAACAAAATATTTCGACACTTCCTCACTGTGTAGTTCCTTAACGAACTATTTCTGAGACAACTTTGTGTGACATATCCTTATTATTCCTTCGATACAATTAATTTAACTCGGTCAGACAAATATTCTTTAAATAATATAACTTCAGGCTTAGACAGACCGTATTGTAAAAGATATAATTCATTTCAATTAGATTTTAGCTAAAAAATTGATCAAGAAAAGTTGTTGATCTACTCAACCCTTGAGTATGTTGTAATACACGTTGTTTTCTGTCACAGAACAGTGACAAATAAATTCAGTTCGCTGATCATTACATTATTTACATAGTCCATACATCACCATTATTACTAAGAATTTGCGCATGCGCCGTCGAATAATTTAATGTCGTTGCTCATGTGCAAATCCGAACTTACCAGTTTTGTGATCGACTTAGATTTTAATAATAATCTGTGTTATTTTATTTAATATTTCAGACAGCCAGGAAACTTCAGTATCGCTTTTTGTTGTTTTTAAATCACATACTTCCAAAAACAACCAGAATAATAGTAACATTATCTTAGGTTATTGAGGTTTTATGAAAGTTTGGGGTCAATGGAATAATTCTGACTACAAAATTGAATTCAACGCTTCAACATACGTAAGGATATAGTTTCCTAATCTCCTCTAATCGTTATCCACGATTACACCCCATTTGGATCACATATACAGGAATTTGCACACTTTAGGGGTGATTTTCTCAAAACTGGTAGGTGATTGAGCCTGTGTTATTATTGAACATAAAAAACTAGCACTAAATTATTGAAAATATGAAACTCTGTTTTTGAACACTTGATTTCTAATAAAAATATAAGTTTGCAATTTTTTGACATACTTATTCTTTGCAATTAAATAATAATGAGCAAATTAATTACAGTAATAAATACATATACAAAGTACAAGCCGTTAAACCGTTCCCCATGTCAGATACACATTAAATTCTTATTAACTTTTAATATCCGTTTTGATTGGAAAAGATGACTGATTGGAACACACGCAGTGCACTTTGACGTAAAATAATGTTGACCCTCCATAGTATATGGCTGTAATCGGCGCAAAATTATGTAAACTGCATGTGCAATAAAACGAGTTTATTTAATTAATCCCAATTCAGATAGCATAATTTCAATGGATTTTATTGACATTTATTCACTTAATTATACACATAAACCGTGTAGGTTGCGTCACATGCGGCAGATTATTTTCTTAGCAAAAACCGAAAATGCCACTTGACGTGGATTGACTTAATCTAAATTTACAGGTGATTACTCATGCATGGTGTGTGTATTGCAAAAGCTGAAATGACCAGTAGGATGTTTTTGACATTGCCGTTCGTTTACTACAGAATGTACCATTTAAGACATGATTCACCTTAATTCTGGTAGAAAGTATGTACCATTTAAGACATGATTCGCCTTAATTCTGGTAGAAAGTATTAATAAGGCAATTTTCAAAATTAAAAATTTCACCAAATCAGTTTCTCCTCATTTGGTTTAATTGTACAAGGTGTCTCACTACTCGAAGTTTCATTCTTCCATTCCTTCAATTTAAGCCTTCCATTGGTAAAAATATTTAGTCTAAGCCAAACCGTTTCAATCTTATATGCTGTTTAAAAAAGTATCTCCCGAATAGCAAGATGCCATTTAACCAACTTTTGAACCATGGGATCAAAGTAATAAAAGAACTACAAAATAATAAAGTTAAATTGTTATCATGCCACAGGTGAACTGAAACATAAAATATTGCTCAAACTAGCAACTCGGGCGAAAACTGTATTAACATTTTATGGTAAGTAATTTTTACACCTAGTCTGTCTGGAATAATATTTAGTTTATACAAAATTGAATAATATACCTTGATCACAATACTGGCAAGTTTTATTCAACAAACATTCACCCACATCACCACAATCAAATAAAGCTAAACCCTTATTAACAACTGTTGTGAAATTTTACGTGAACAATTGGCACTGCTTTAACTAATTGGCTATAAAAGTGAACAGCAAAGAAAATAAATATCTATTCGTATTTTAAATTGAACAAGACCAAATACATAAATCCTATAAATTATTGTGTATGTTCTAATTTGAGTTGTTATATTTTTCAGAAACATTGGTAATAATTTAATAACTTCCTTATCAGCTGAAGCTTTTCCACCTATGGACAGCCTTGTGGTGCTGTAAGTATATTTTTTATTCCGTATATGATAAATTTTATTACCTCTCAAACTATTATATTCACAAGAAACCTTTTTAAACATCAGCAAACATTATGACGTGTTTGTACTGAATGCAGGTCCATTTTTTTCTTCGAGACGACCAAAACTCTTAACAATATTCCACCATACTCGACCAAAAATATGTTTACATTATGATAAAGTTTACAAATGAGCGTATTATTCACGATGAATATCTCATTTCATGCCCGTTTTACTTAAGGCAATATTTCTTGTGAATATCGGATGAAGGTTGTCCTATATTTCCAACTGAGGGCCGGCGATTCTTTGGGATTCTATCTCCATAGTAATCGGAATTTATCGTTTAAGTTATTGTCAAAATTTGCGAAAATAATTCTTTAAAATACGGGCAGGAGATATGGCTCAATTTTAAAGTTAATATAATGGAAAATTGATTTTATCTTACGCAGTAAAGATGCAGGGGATTGAGATTGATAGGTCAATAAAAAAGGCTATGTGCAGGATTAATCATATTTTTATATATAATTTTCGTAGAAAAATGTGTAAATAAAAGTTTTTAACATACAGGCACACTGTCCTTTCACAAAATGGAAACATAGTTAAAAGTTTGAAAAAACTGACTTCACTTACCTTCACTTAAACTTATATTTCACTTCACTTAAACTTATACACTCGCTTCACTTCACTTAAACTTATCTTTAATGTTGGTGAAAATATAACGTTGAAAGTATGTAGATGTTCTGTAAACGTTTCTCTTTGTTAGAACCCAATCAGATTATTGGAATATTTCTAATACTCATGGCTATGGTGCTGAACATTTTATTCTCGCTAATTAATCAACTTCAAATTTTAATGTCAATGAACCAAAAGAAATGTAATAGATTTTAACATTCGATACAAAACTTTCTGCTACTCTTATTTACTTATTCTACCAGTCTTCTAAACCGAACCCAAAGGTATGTCTTCATGTCAACGATGTTCTTTTACAATTTACAAGGGATTTTGGTTCTTCTCGGTATAGCAAATATGTCGTAATAAAGCACCTTAAAATGAGAGACAATTAATAAGAATTTTTATGAATTTATCTGTAATAAATCTGTTTTAAAGGTAAAACAAACTTAATTTGCATTTAGTTTTGAAAATATACAGGATGTTAATGAACTTTTGTCAAATATTTTTGCCACAAGTCCGTTATGCCAAAATGAGGTAAATACACGGATTTGTGATGAGTATATAATTTTAAAATCTAACTTACCTTAACAATGCAAGGAGACACCTTTTGAGAACTGCTGATTTTTTTGTAAGTACTCGCCGCCATATGGTATATGTATTTCAGCAGTTCCAAAACAGTTTTAAACACATTTTTAATTAGCTTCTTCCGATACAAGTTTGTAACATCAGTTAACTCAGTTTTTGCTCCTTTTTCACCCCTTTAAATTTTTGACATAAGTTCATTAACACCCTGTATACAAATTCGATAAAAAAAATACCTCAGTTCTCGTGCGAATGCTGTTTAAGATGCATCACAGACCCAATGGTAATTTATGGCTTATAACATAAAAGTTACGAGGCAATAAAAAAAGTTTCCTCATATTTCTATTGTCAGTTTAAATATAAAGAAATCTCTACAAACTCACAGGCAATATATCAAGGGCCCAAAGCCCTGGCATAAAGTAAATATAAAAGCAATTTCGCAAATCTGAAAAAATCACTTCCATATTTTCCCGACAATTTGCTGCGATGTTAAAATACGTGATGCCTACAGAAATAGTCTGGTTTATGAGCTGTCACGAGGACATTTCCGGATTCAATGCTTAGTATCGAAGAGAAGTTTTATTGCTGTTGATACGTGTGACAAGAAAGTTCATGTGGTTACGACTGAATTAAACTTATCCTTAGGAATACTTTAATACGGCCCTTATAAATTTTGCACAATTATCATAACTATATTAATTGAGTAATCACAAGTTATTTACATAAGAACTAACATTGCCACTAAATTAAGAATTAAAATATCTTTAAAATCAGATATTTCTCATATTCCCATAATTTCCATAAAATATGCGATGGGTTTATTTTACTACAAAATTAGTTTCTTACGTTTTATGAGACATATTTAACCACCTAATTTTAGTCGACGACGAAGAAAATCCTCACCTGCTTATTCTCTTATTCCTGTCCTTCTCTGCTATTCCCTGTGCATCTTCACACCTCGGCCATATATTTTTCTGTTAAGTCCTCGCGACTGTTAGAGCGACGTGATGATGGTCGAGCAAGAAGATCGAGTAATATCCTGGCACGCCATGCTTGTCACGCACGCGATTCTCGTTTGTTATTAGCATTGTGGTGCGTATTTCACTTCAGATTTTTTAGACGTGAAGTCGGCTTTTATGCTTGGCCTACCAACGGTTCCTGTCAGCAGCTGAACGGAAATGGTGTCTAGTATGTTTATGTCTTCGATGGAAACCTCCTACGTTCAGATATTTAAGCAGCGGTGTTTATTGTGTGTTGATTTTATGGATGTCCAGTGCTTCCTTTCTATTATGGTAAACAAGAACACTGCAGTGATATATATTTTCATTTCTATTGAAAAGAATAGTATATTTGTCCAAAAAATTGTTTTTTTTTTTCAATTAAGTACACGTAAATTTATAATTAATTAATCTAATTGTAGCGTAATTATAAGTTCAGAGAGAAAAATGCACTATATTTCATAATTTTCATGGACGAACAGGTAAAAAAAAATATAAACAATGAGATAATTCAAAGGAAAACAACATATCCTAATCAGCGTTGCTTTGTCCAGGAGGAACAGGCGAAGTAATTAATAAGCAGTCCAAAAAAAAAGGTTTCTAAGCACTGGCAATTTTCAAGCAGAGTATTTGTTCAGCAGCGAGCAAGTGAGCGATTTTTATAATACCTACTAACGAACCAACTCTTTTTGTTAATATCTGTCAAAAAGTACCAAATATCTCTTCATAAAGAAAATCCTCTTCTTGCCTACAATTGTATGCAGTTTTTACAAACAATCTACGCCGGAGTTATTTTTATGTCATTTTTTAAATTTAATTAAGGCTGTCAGAACTGAGTCGCGTGACATAGGCGTATGCATTAATTATTAAAAAGCAACAAATTAAATTGTCTACAATACACCACCATAAACACCAACGAATAGGAATTAATTACGCAACATTCGCACGATAACAAAGTTAACAGTATACTAACGTGACGTAAACGTGAAAAGCATTCTGAGGCAGTGGCTCACGCATGTCTCGGTAGACCCGCTGGGCACGCCACTGAACTGCAGTTCGTTCTGACAGCTCTACTTATAATTATATCTAGCAGTTGTGTAATAATAATTTAATTATTCTCTTTTCCAGTTTAATGAAAAGAAATCAAATCAACGAAATATCCGAAGATGCCTTCGCTAACCTCACATCATTGAAGGTTCTGTAAGTAGATCCTAACAACATTTGTAAGTGTGTCCCACCGGGAACTGCGTCCATCGATATCTGGGAAAGTACTGCTCCGAAAAATTTTAAAATTTGGCAACATGGCAATGTCTCTGGGGCTCAACTAAAATATCTAGAACTCTCCAGTACTTCCGGTTATACTGGAAGTCGACACCAACTTCGTTAATTTAAATGGGACACCCTATATATTCATCCTAGGGACACTGCCGTGCTGTCAAATTTTCAAAAATTTTCGGAGCAGTACTTTCCTAGATATCGATCGATGCAGTTCCCGGTGGGACACCCTGTTGAAATACCGGTGTATACTAAAAAAATAAAAATAAATAATACGTGTGTATTTTTAACTTTCTTGTTGCTTTATATTTTCGAAGCTCTGTAATATCTAAACCTTATCAGCTATTTAGTTTACTAGAATAAAGTAAGACTACTATATTGTGTAATTACAGAAACATTTAAGTATTCAAATTATGGTTTCAGCGAACTGGATGACAATTTCCTTAGTCAAATTCCAACTGCTATCACAAAGCTGCCAGGCCTACAGGAATTGTAAGTATTTAACCCTTCTCTGAAGGACTACACTCGAACTTTGAATTTTATTAAAATTGCCAAAAGTTTTCGGTAGTCATACAATTTTATATTATGTGCCTATGTCTGCTTTTCGTTCAGGGAGTGTCTTAGATGTGCCCTTAAAGTAAACCACTAAAGTAAAATTTAGAAATTTTAATATTTTAAATCAGAAATATATCCCTTAACCAACTACTGTTTTATGGTTTGTTTATTTTGAGCACTTATACGTTTAATTAAAGTTCTGGTTAAATCGGAACCTATACATGTATACCTATACATAATGTAAGTAGCAATTGTCTAAAATTTCTTCTTTCGTGCATTTAAACCATACAAAATTGTTTATATAACAGTAAGGTAGATACGGGAGAATTGGTGAACTAAGAATTACAACAGATTATAAACATAGTTATTACAATTTTTTTTGAACAATCTTAAATTAAACAAACCACACATTTTAACCTACAACATCACAGAAGTAAATTGTCCTCTACTGTACGATCTCTCTTCTCGAGCTGATTGGACGTTTCTCATTGAAGTTGATGACGTGGAAGATATGCATTCAAAGTTTTGTGAAAAATTATATAGTTTCTTTAATACATAATTCTTTTAAGCATTAGTAAGAAAGTCTTCGATCAGATAGACCACCATATTCTTTTGGCGAATTCCATACGTTTCGGTTTTTAGATTTGCTAGTTAAACTCCTGCATTTTTTTGCAATATTTAAACATTTTGCGGTTAGATTTCAAAATTTTTCTTCGAGTTATTGCTCTTCTTCCTCAGGTGTTCCACATGGTTCTAATACAGGACTGCTCTTGTTTTTGTTTGTTATTACCGATCTTTCGTACGTTGTCATGTGGAAAAATTGCAGTTTGTTGTTCTCGGGCTAAGTTCTGTGGGCCTTACATCCGCTCTGAAGTTCATTTCGGTTCTTATTGGGTCTAAGACCACTAAGGGCGGTAATGGTGATTTTCTGAGTAGTTCCGTAATGGTTTCTAGAATAGTCGTATCCAGTGCTTACAAATGTTTCGCTATTCTTCAGTAGTGACACTGCAAATGCTTGAGTTGACTTGTAGAGGGTTTTGAAAGCTTTCATTTGACATCCTCTATCCCACAGACAGACAACGGGAGGGTCTTGGTCCATTAAGTCTTATTAAGTAATTAATTAGTAAATTTTAGATGTTCTTGTTCTATCACTTATTTGTGGTACATTTTCTAAAAATCGCTTATATTTAATTTGAGTAATTTCTGCTGCTTAAAAATGTGTTCCCTCAACAAGTAGCGCACGCGAAGGAGCGCCATTTCTGCAAAGCGTGGTAGTTTTGAGCGGACAGCTGCTTACTGAAAGTTTTACATCGCGTCCCCTGACACCTATCTCTTTCCAGATCCATATCGGGCAACCGCATCAAGTATATCACTGGCGGCCTGCTGCAGAAGACCCCCGCGCTGGCCCTGCTGGAGCTCAAGGGGAACCCGCTGATCGGAGTGGATGCCCACGCGTTCTCCTTCCTGCCACGCCTGCGAAAGCTGCAAGTATTATGTTCTCTCTCACTGTTGTTCCGGTCGAGCCGTATAAGGCTCATACCGAAATTCCTCGCACAAACTTTCCGATATCGGGTGGAATAAATATTAAATAAAAATCTAAATATATGAGCCTGTGTAGTTCTATAAACCGATAAAATTGAATATAAAGGACATGCAAGCGTACGAAAACTATAAAAATGAAAATACTTTTAAATTAATTAAAAACTATGCAGGATGTGTCGTTTAACAATTCCGGAGATTCCTAAAAAGAGTTGCATTTTAAATTGCTACTAGTTAGAGGTAAAGGACAATAAAGGGTTCAATTATCATAAATAGCTTTGTTGTGCAAATACATTTTTCATGTCCTGAAACAAAAAAAGTAAGTGCATTGTATAGAGAATAGAATTTATTTCCTATCAACTTCGAAAGATCGATCGTTTGTTAGATATTATGTTATCAGCAATTTTATTTATTATTTCTTGACAAAAAAAATCCTTATAACTTTTTTGCGTAGTCGTATATTTTTTGTTACTTATTGACAAAAACAGAAACTTGACTTCACTGAAGGGTTATTAATTTTACCTTACACAAAGTACACAAGTCGTGTCTGAAGATACGGCCATAGTGGATAGCTGCGGTTTTAAGTTCAAATAGAAGCTAGAGACACAAGCAACAGTCATGGGATTTAAAACAAAGCCTCTATTCTTCACTGTACCCTAAGCCTAATCATATGGGTTTTAAATTTTTGCTCAACTTTCTAATCTGAACCACGAAGGCGTCTTCAATCGCTTTACGTAGAGTAAAGTAGAAACGTCCTATGGCACCCAGACTTCCCTCCACATGAAGCAGAAATATACAATTTCTGCTCGAAATATACAATTTTGGCATATTTCGAAAATTTGCGCCGAAGCTCTCAGTCGCCCCACAATCAAAAAAGCCCCAGAAGAGGACACGACAGAAGCCGATGCTGCCGGCAGAGCAACCATCAACAACATGCTAAAGAGATAGGAAAATCACCCCACTTTCTGATTTTGTTAAATGAAAAGTTCTCCGAAAATTGCGAGATTCGAACTGGGAAGCCGCAATATAACATTACATTACTAAAAATAACTAAGTCCACAACCAGCTCCAATCGACCAGATTCCAAAGTTGAGCAAAATCCGGAGGGGGCAATTTTCCAAACTGAGACGGACTTCGCTGCAGGACCAGTGCAGAACCATCAAGGAAGGTGATCGAACGTCGACCTTGGTGCCTCATAGTTCATTAACCAATGTCATTTAAGGGCGAACTGGCGAAAATTTACATGACGTATCATTTTTTACATTCCAGAAATGTTTCCGCCTTCTAGTCCTAAAGCTGCGTACTGTGTGTAATTAGAAAATAAGGCGTGTAACAAATTTTGACGGATTTGAATCACTGTCTTCAATTTCACCCACTGTATTTGGTAAAGTTTTAAGCTGTCATACTTAAAGTCACAACAAACAACTGGTTAATTCAATTCACAACCTAATTTCTAGCGTTATCATTAAAATGTCAAATAATTTTACTACTACAGAGTATAAACAAATCTAATAAATTTCTGGAAATCCCAAATTCCGATAAATTATACTTGCAACATCTGCTCCTTTTCATTAATAGTTATCAATTATAACGATTAGAGAATATGCTTCTCTAGTAGATATCCTAAAATTATATTGAGAATCGAAACAAACAGATTATAAAATGAAAAATATTTTCTTTAAATAAGAGAAACATGAAACACTTACTTATTTTTGTAATTGTTTTGATACTGACAATGAAAAGTGAAAAAGAAAAAGTAATCTGTGTTGTATGAAGTTACTCGTCGTATACTTTCAGTTTATTTCGGTATTTCACAGGTTCTGAAAAATATAAATTGTTAAAATAAACCTTTACATCATCCATGAATTATTTTCTTGAAAACTATTTTAACCTAATCTGTACCTACTAATCACTAATCAGCATAGGTATAAATGGATTTTAAATTATCTGAGTATTGCTCAGCTCCTTATAATATTTAAAAAAAAAATAATAAAAGGCGTACTCATATTTGGTAAAAGTAGGAATTAAAGAAACGTAAAAAAATCCTCTTTAACTAAAAGAATTTTTTAACAAAATTGACTGTACTCATTTAGAAAGCTAGAATATCGAAAGGATCAACTTAATATGCCGCAGAACATTAACATAAAGTGGTAGTTACTGACTACTATATTTACAATGAACCGATTTATGTTTTTGTTTGTCGAATGGAAAAACGTTAAAGGCTGGAAAAGATACTTCTTTTAAATTAACTTCCTGTAGATCGAAAGGAAGGAAAAGAATACTTTCATAGCATATTTTCGATATCTCAAAAGAAAAATTATGGTACTATTTATTCAGTTCTTTATATTGCCATTTCTCTTCTTTAGTGCCTACTTAAAACGTGAAAGATCACCAAGTCGTTTCGATGCTCTATTGCTCAAGACATAAGAGAAAACAAAATGATCTGCTTTAATCAGTAAAATCAATTAAAATATTTATGAGATATAAGATTTTTTAAAAGGTAATTGTCAATTAGTAAATACTTCTAATGTGCAATAACCACATATTTTAACCCATATATCCTTATAAACAATATAATTATATTCTCTAAAGTGGACGTTAATAATTTTAAATTGGTAGGTAAGTTATTTAATATGGTTTTTAAAAACCATATTTGGTATCATTATTATTAGATTAGTGGTAATCTATTAAAGGCTTTTATTGAATTTATTTTTTATCAGATCTTATTGTAACAGGTTGGTAACCTTGGATTAAGTCAATAGGGTCAAATAACTTCAGATCATCAGCACACAATAGTTTTTAGTAGGATTTCCTTACAGCAGCTTATAAATAAAACAAATAAAAGTGGTCCAAAGACTGATCCTTGCGGTACACCTAACGTCGTAAAACAATTAGTGGTCATGCCAGAATAATATACAGTAAGAATGCGCTATTTTAACTAGGATATAGTAATTTTAAATAGTCTGGCGTTATTGTATTTTAAATTAAATTTACTTGAATGAAAGGATATGTTTTATGTCAACGTTCACTAATTAATTTATCGCAAATTTCACATGTCCTACTTGGAAAATACCAGTGTCAAGTAAAAGCGTATTTTTATGAAAAATAACCTGTTCTCTCGATGTGAATTTGAATGTATGCAAGAGGGGAAAAACCAATTTTAATTCTTCTCAACTTTTCAAGGGATGATTCGATTAACTACAGTCCTACACGAATCCCCGAAAAACGGGAAAAAATAAATCACAAGAAGAATGTAATAATGATAATAATATCTAATTTGTTTTGATTTATATCCTTTTTTAATAGGATCCTGTCGGATGCCAGGGAACTGTCCACGTTTCCAAACCTAAATGGTACTGCGGCTCTAGAAATATTGAGATTAGACAGAGCGGGGATATCTTCGGTCCCAACGTCTTTATGCACGACTTGCCCCAGGCTGAAAAGTTTGTAAGTATCCGTCCATTGCTCCGGTTGGAAAAGCCAAATATGGAAGCCTCTCTAACAGTGCTGTAGGAATTTTGATTAAAAGTTCAGCAAAATTTGTAAAATATTACGTAGATATAATTTGTTACTACTTCTTGTTGTTTTGGAAAATTGCTCTCAGCTTGGGTTATTTTGATATATCCACGTTCTCCTCTATGAAAATAATTGACTTGATAATTGAGTGTTCACTCTACAAACTTGCTGGTGACTTTAAAGTTCTTGACTTCTCCATGAAATATGCTAGCAGTGACATTTCAGATACACCAGTATTTTTGTTCTGCCACGGTTCTTTGACATTTCTATATGCTCGTCCGTAGCGCACTTTCGACTTTTCGGCAATAAAAATTCGCAGGCAGCATTTGCTGCACTTTCTATTTAAAAATCACTCGTTTAAAAATAATAATTCAAAACCAGCAAAATTGCAACTTTTATGTAGCTTTGTTTATGTAAACACCTTAGAAATCCAAACAATCAAGGCCTTTGCAAAATTTCGAATAATGTCAAAATGAATTGATTAAGAAATGTCAAAAAGTAAAACCTAATCTTTATTTCATGAACCATAAAGAACTATGGGAGCAGATAAAATGTTATACACCACGCAGCAGTTAAGTATAATTTACCAGTCTCGGACTCCCTTGCCAGCCCTCGCTTCGCTCGGGCGCAAAATCGTCCTCGACTAGTAAATGGTACTTACCCTTTAAAGTGTAAATAACTATTTATTTTATCACATTTTTATTTATAATTGTTGTTCTTATAGAAAGTGCGTTCGAAATAAAAAAGGAATTTTCAAAAATAGATATTTCTAGTGATTGTATTTCTATTTTCAAAATTTTATGACATTTGCACGATTAGAAACGGAATTATTGTACCTGAAATGACAGTAGGTATGTTGATTTTTCCAAAAAAAAAAAAAGAAGAAGAAAGAAAGATTTAGATTCAAGATATCGCCTTCTATAACGTTTTCAGTATAATTACTTCTAAGGTGCCATTAATTTTGTGTTTCCATTTAACTTTTGTAGGATTAAATAGTCCATCTACACACTTCACTCCAATTACGTTAATACAATCTCCTTTGTTTCCTTTCCAGAGACATCAAATCGAATAAGCTGAAAGTCGTTCCAGACCTAAATAACTGCCGTGAAATGAGGGTGTTGTAAGTATTATTTCCTATGTAGCAAACGAAAGTATAAATGTCGCGTCGATTTTTAGAGATTTGGCCAGCAATTATATAAAATCTATCGAGGACAAGCCCTTCCGGGGAATGTACCAGATCCATGACTTACTGTTGGCCCACAATCAGATCCAATACATTCCACAAGACGCCTTTTATAACCTGTCAAAGTTGCAAGTCCTGTAAGTATTGTTAAAATAAGTATACGAAAAAGTAAAAGGTAGTATAGGTCTGCTTAGTAATTCATATGTAAATTTTTAAAAATGAGAAGTAGGGTGGTGTTAAGAACCTAAATTGTATACAGAGTGTAAGGCAGATAGTACGGAATACTGAGCCAAATACTTGCACAAATCCAATTTCAAGATATTGGTGAATTTCGATTTTTTTAATTTCTTACAGGCTTCTATACGCCTCTATACATATATTGTATTTATTCCATATTTGACTTCTAGTTTCCTACTTATTAAAACTAAACAACAGAAGACTTTTATTGACACATTGATAAAAACTAATAATAATTTTAACTAAACATGTATTGATTTTTACCATTTCAGAGATTTAGAAGATAATCAAATTTCTTTCATCCACCCTGATGCTTTTATGCCAGTATCTAAAATCGAGGATTTGTAAGTACATACATTGAAACTATCATACAATTTCTAGATAATGTTATTTTCCCAGAAATCTAGGCAACAATGTATTTCCGCACCTGCCATCAGCTGGGCTTGAAAGGTTGTTGCACTTGAAAACCTTCAACAACCCCAACCTACGAGAATTTCCACCCCCAGAAGATTTTCCAAGAATACAGACATTAGTTTTAGCTTACGCTTATCATTGTTGCGCTTTTTTACCCCTAATTCCATCTAACCCACCTCCGAGAGCAAAGGATATAATCGTCTTTCCAGATATTGAAGACATCGATATGAATTTCTGGAATAGTTCGGTAGACATTTGGCCATCACAGCGTAAGTAAAATCTTTAAAACACTTGTTCAATTACTAAATAATATACAAGGTATCTTTGAAGAAGGTGCCATAAAAACACACATTTCGTAAACCTGGGGTGATTTTCAGAAAACATCAGTCACAAATTTGGTAAGAAGTTCGAAGCCATATGGGAAAATATTCGATCTGATTTCACGTATCCAGGAAATTTTCCCTCCTACATGGAAGAGTACGCCGCTGAAGACGATTCAAACCTACGCCTTCCTGGAGAAGGTTCCACAGGAGCTCCTGGAAAAATCCAATGCTTGCCTTTACCGGGGCCGTTTCTGCCTTGCCAAGATTTATTTGACTGGTGGACATTGCGCTGTGGAGTATGGATAGTGTTTTTATGCGCGATGCTGGGCAACGGTATCGTCGTGTTCGTTTTGATTTTTTCACGTAGCAAAATGGACGTGCCTCGGTTCCTTGTTTGCAACTTGGCAGCTGCGGATTTCTTCATGGGTATCTATTTAGGTGAGTAAAGTGTAGTCCGTCAACTTAATTTGGTACTATTTGTTGTTTCTACCTTTCAGGTTTTTTAGCAGTTGTCGATGCGTCCACTTTAGGCGAATTTCGCATGTACGCCATCCCGTGGCAAATGTCAGTTGGTTGCCAGCTAGCTGGCTTCCTAGGAGTCCTCAGTTCAGAACTGTCCGTGTGGACCCTGGCAGTGATTACGCTTGAAAGAAACTACGCCATAACTCATGCCATGCATCTCAACAAAAGACTGTCGTTAAAACACGCGGGATACATCATGATTTGCGGATGGAGTTTCGCCGTCGTGATGGGTATAATGCCCATATTTAACATTTCGGACTACAGGAAGTTCGCGGTGTGTCTCCCGTTCGAAACCAACGATGTAGCGAGCCTAACCTATGTCGTTTTCCTTATGTTCGTAAACGGTGTCGCCTTTCTAATACTCATGGGATGCTACTTGAAAATGTACTGTGCTATCCGCGGTTCTCAGGCCTGGAATTCAAATGACTCCCGTATAGCCAAACGCATGGCCCTTTTAGTATTCACAGATTTCTTGTGTTGGTCGCCTATAGCGTTCTTTTCATTAACAGCAGCATTTGGACTGCAACTTATATCTCTCGAACAAGCCAAAGTTTTCACGGTGTTCATACTACCGTTAAACTCCTGCTGTAATCCGTTCCTATACGCAATCCTCACTAAACAATTCAAAAAAGACTGCGTGATGATCTGCAAAGCTATAGAAGAGAGCAGAGTCACTCGAGGTATCGGAAGGTGTAGACACAGTTCTAACTTTAGTAATAGGCAAACCCCCGCTAACACGAATAGTTTAGCAGATAGGTCGTCCAGGGAGAAACAGGACCATCACGCACCACAGTGCACGTGTAACGTCAAGCTGCTGAATGACAATCAGAATCAGAGCCAGAAGAGAACTGATAGGAAGACCAGGACGAGGGAATGGCTCCTGAGCAAGGCTCGATGGCTTCTGTGCGTTCGAAGACCTGCAAGGCATCGGCCTAGGAATGACCAGTACACGTACCAAATCGCCGAGATCCAACAAAAACAACATAAGAGGGCGTCATCCGTGTCATCAAGTGAAAATTTTAGTTCCTCGAGGTAATGTCTACATTATTTTATTTCTTTATTTCATTCTATCAACATGGCTCCTTACAAAGGTAGTCGACTGTCACTAATTTAATAATATTAAATTAATATTATAGCTAACGTCCTCGACATCCAAGATCAAATAGATATAATATACAGGGTGTCCGGGAAAATGTGGGAAATCTCTCGGGTGCAGATAGAACATGAAAAAATGAGATAACAAGTTCCTATGAAATTTTTTCGTACAGGACTTTAAAATAATAAATCTGGGTAGCTTCAACCTTAGACTAAAAAAGGTACTCTTGTTTATTGTCGATAAAAACCGTTTACGAGAAAAAGAATAATAAACGAATTCATGTTTTATTTTTAATAAAAAGGGCCATGATTTCTATTTTTTTCTTCTCGACAACAAAGTGCGATACGAAAGTCTATCAAACAACAGGAAAGTTTAATTTTAAGATGTTTCGTCATCGAAATGATCGTCTGATGTTTCATCGTGCATGAAGTACATGTTTCGGCGGGTTTCAATTGGTAAGTGTTCTATTAAATCTTGAAAAACGTGCCGAAGGAACTCCAAATAAAGTTGTCCATTCAATCGTTCCCGCAATACTAACGGTCCAATAAACAAAATTGCTAATGATTCCTGCTCAGATGTTAATTGATTGGAACTGATGTTGAAAATGCGAAACAATAGTGGCATGAGAATTTTCATCAGCACATGCATGTGTGTTGTGTAAATTGGTGATGTCATTTTTGGTAAATCTTGCTTCTTCTGTCAAAAGAATAGTGCTAATGAAGTTTACATTATTTCGTTGCTGAGCCAATAGCCAGTTTGCAAACTGCATTCTACGAGGAAAATCTTCAGTTAATGTATTTTTTGCAAATGTTATAGATATAACCGCTGTTTTTGAAGAACTTGATGTACTATTATTTTCGATGCATTAAAGTGTGCTGATAATTTTCAAGTGCTCGTTGATGGAGTGCCTTCTACAGCAATTAAAATATTTTCCTCTAATTGCGGCGTACGTACGGTTCTTCTCAGGCCAGTATCAGTACTATTTTTTCCAAAATTTTCTACAAATATGAAAAAAGTCAGTAATTTGTTAATACACATTACTCGATAATTAATTCGAAATATGGAATACACGTTTATTGAGTATATAGATAGACATCTCATGTATGGTATTGCGTCTTGCAATACTTTACAAGCCAGGTTATATCACGACAGATTTCCTAATCGTGCTTTGCCAAACCAGAAGACATTTCAACGAGTTGACCAACGTCTAAGAGAAAATGGTGGGCGATTCCAGTTGATAAGGTAATCCTTAAGACGCAATACCATACATGAGATGTATATCTATATACTCAATAAACGTGTATTCCATATTTCGAATTAATTCACAATTAAATTCTCCACGAAATCTAAAAATCGGTAAATTAATAACGAAGTAAAGGATCGATGTGTCGGCGATGTCACTTTGTTGTCGAGAAAAGAAAAATAGAAATTATGGCCCTTTTTATTAAAAATAAAACATGAATTCGTTTATTATTATTTTTCTCGTAATCGGTTCATTTTATAGACAATAAACACGAGTACTTTTTTTAGTCTAAGGTTGAAGCTACCCAGATTTATTATTTGATAGTCTTTATCATACAGGGTGTTAAAAATTTAGGCATTAAGTTGTAAAGCTTAGCCCGCCCCTGGTAAACTAAAAAAGCTAAATAGGTTTCAATTACACTATTTTAAGAGGTCATATAACGAGCGTTCAAATAAAAACGTGGTCAAGTTGGTTCTCAAAATTTGGACGTAGGGCGTAGCGTATAGCAAATGAACTTAAACGTCATCTGTCAAAGCGCTATATCGCCGCTATCAATTTGAATATTTTCGTTTTAAAAAGCGTTTAAAATGGTGTTTTCTCAAGAACAAAAAGTGTTTATCATAGAGTCCTACTTTAGAAATGGACGCAAGATTGATGGAATATGGAAGTATTCTATTGAGGAATGTTTCATAGAATTTCAAAATCAATTTCCCGGCGTTGTTGAGTACAAAATTTTTCAAAGTGCAGTTCAGCGTTGTGTTAATGTTTTTCGTGAAACGGGCAGTGTAACAAGAAAAGAAGGAAGCGGCCGACCTAAAAAGCGGACTGAAGAATTAAAAGAAAATGTCCAACAAATAATGGAAAATGCGCCAAGAACTTCTGTACGTGTTTTATCACAAATGGTGGGAGTATCAGTCGGTACCTGCCACACAGTGTTAAAAAAAGATTTGCGTTTGTTCTCCTATCGTTTAACTTGTCAGCAAGAACTTCATGAAGTTGATTTTCCGCGACGGGCTGTATTTTGTGAATGGTTTTTAAACAACTACGGTGAACTTCATAATATCACCTTTTTTTCTGATGAAGCCTGGTTTCATTTAAGTGGTTACGTAAACTCACAGAATATGAGAATGTGGTCTTCTGAAAAACCAGATAACTTTTTTGTCGAGGGCCCTCTACACGCTCAAAAAATTGGAGTTTGGTGTGCTCTCAATCGAAGGAGGATTTATGGACCTATTTTTTTTAATGGTACTCTTACTGCGCAAAGGTATAGAGAAGAAATTATCGCTCCTTTTGTTAACCAGCTGGAAGAAAACGAAATTACAAACTTTTACTTTCAACAAGATGGCGCAAGGGCACATACGGCAGGCGAGACGATGAATATGTTGAGGGAAGTTTTCCAAAATCGACTAATAAGTCTCAATGCTGAACATGAATTTCCACCGAGGTCATGTGATATTACGCCGTGTGATTTCTTTTTGTGGCATTACCTTAAAAACACTATTTTTGAACTGCCTATTCCTGATTTAAACCATCTGCAGGCTCGACTTATAGACAAGATTCGTGAAATTAACAATACCCCGAGCATCTTAGAAAATGTCTTTAATTCTTTGAGGAACAGGTGTGAAAAGTGCTTGGAACAAGGAGGGAGACACTTTCAGCAGCTGCTTTAATTTATTGTTATAACAAGGAGGGGGACACTTTCCGCAGCTATTTTAATTGTTTGTTATTGTTATCACGATTTTCATATTTTCCCGGACACTTTGTATACTCATTTCGCGAAATTTTTTGTGCAGATTGATTACGGTCTACTATTAAAAAAATACAATATGTTCGGATTACAGTCGTCATCTTGTTGTCTTCATTAACTCATTATTAAGTAACATAAAACAAATGAATCTAAATGTAAAGTCGTCACTTACATTGCTGAAATTATGTCAACCTTAAATATTTTAAGAAATTTTAAAATTTGCATCCTTGAAAATTAATAGGTTCTATCCGGAAAAATAGTTAGTTTTGAATAACGTGATGTGGATATTAATTTCTATTTAAATAAAGATCAGATTCCTGGCGCCACAACCACCATTGTGGCATACCTCTGCGCCTCCTGGACCCCAAACGGCGGGCGTCGTCCTGGTTGGTCACCAGGAAAACCTCCCAGGACTCTAACCTCTCAAGCTCGAGGAACGATTCTTCTGGTTCGGCGACGACAGCCAGCACAAGCACGTGGAGGATGTCCCGTTCCAGCGGTTCCAGTGAGCCAACGCGCGGAAGGACAAAGCCTCGTCTGACGCGACAATGTGCCATTCAGGACGAATGTGATCCACCAGGTAAAAGTAAATGCCGTCGTGGAAGATATTTCAAATTACTTTTATATTTCTTTTGTATTTTCAGGTTCACCAGGGAGGCTTACAGTCAGATTCCTCACAACCATTCCCTCAGCTGCTGAGAATAGCATGCAGTTGGAAGACGAGCAACCATCCATACTGGTTAGTCCCACCAAAGAGCGAGAAGGACCCTTGTATGCCATCCTTCATTCTACGCCGATGACGCCGGTGCGTAGGCAGTCTATCGTAACTCTTCACCCTGTAGAAAGCACTAAAGTATCTCCTAATTCTTCTAGTCAGGCCAATAATATGGCAGACGCTGGTCCCTCTAGATAATAATTAATTCTTTAGGGATAAGCTGTACCAAAACTGTAATTTGTGCTCCAGGATGTGCCAGGTTTTCTGTTTCGTTCTAAGTTATTTATTTATTTATTTATTGTAGTCTAGGCGATGCGTGTTTTTGTATTGAGTGAGTATGAGTAGTGTTTTTAGAGAAATACTTCGTGTGCACCATTCCTCAGCCAACTCCAATTATTATAACCAAGTTTTTTTCAGATGTGTTAATTTCGAAATTTTTTTCATATTAAATCTAGTTGGCATCCCGACTGAAGCCATTTGTGACACTATTTTAAGACATTCCTGGAGTACAGTGTAACCAAATCATATAAGTATTTATTAAGCCGTTACTCATAGGGAAAGTTTTTTAATATTATTTATTTGTATATATCTATTTTATTAAATAAGACAGATTGCGTGATATGTTTAGCTGTAAGCGAAGAAAGTAATAAAAATAAGGTGATAATTTTTAAAGTAAAATATATTGTATATGAACATAAAATGTTATTTACACAAAAAGACGTTCCATGTTAATTATAGTAGTATGAAATAAAATATTCCATACTGTTATTTATAGTATTGCTATATTCTATTTATTGTATACAAATCTACCTCCTAGTTCAATACAAAGACTTAAATAAAATATACACGAAATCTAAGTAGTCTACTTATTGCGATTTATTATTCAGTGAACGTTAATTGAAACAAGCAGCCAAAATGTAATTGAAACACTTAAGCTATACATATTTATGTACCTATTTATGTGTGAGTGGAAAAATTTCACAACCTCTGTTGGATTTTCCACCTTTAGCAGAGAGTTTGAGCAGACATATACTTACCCAGACATAAAATGTGAGGCATGATGACAGATTTTGAAAAACTGTTCTATGACGTTCGGAAGTATTTACTTACTATTTCCAAAAAATATATTATTTCTGTAGAAAATAAAAGGTTTAATAGAAAAATATTAACATTTTAATTTTAAATCTAAACTCACGCAGAATGTCGCCGGTGTCATGGCGTCTACGTGACGTCACATCTATGTTTGTCAACAGTAAACATAAGGTGCTAATATTTTGTGTTGCAAGATTCATTAGTTATATAAAAATACAAAGTTACCATAATAGTATATGCATTTTATTTACCCTCAAATTGTACTTTGGTATAATAATGGATAGACATTATCTTTCCATGAAGAGACTAAAACACACACACACACATTAAAAAAATCTGATACATTGTGCAAAACCGTACTTATCTTATCAACTTCCACGTCACCTGTTACATGGGTGTTGTATAACAATGAAAAAGTAATATTGGCAGTTGGTAGAAGGAAGCACAAAAAACAAACGCCTAGGTAGGAAATTCTGGAAGGAAGCCAAGTTAGTTGAAGATAGGCAGTTGAAGTGAGAACAGTGTGCAGATAGGTAGCAAGACGATCGGCGGGCAGTGTGACAAAGTAGTGTAAAATTAAGTGTTTAACCGGTATTAGTTAGCAGGTAATATTCTTTAAGTACTTTGTTGTTAATTGTTCTATGTAATCTTATGATTGTGATGGTTATAGATGTTTCATGATAATAATTCTTTGTATGTTTAGCTTCCATTGCTTTATGCTCAAGGGCATATATTTTTCTAAGGTAAAATTGTTATAATTATTATTAACGATTGCTCATTATTTATTTCATGTTAAAATATATATATTGTGTGGGCGCCCAGACATTACAATAATGACTCCTTTGTTTCACATCTAACTTGTTTTTGTCATGATTACGTTGTTCGTAAAATATAGATGTTTCATGATAATAATTCTGTATATGTTTAGCCTTCATTGTCTTACGCTCAGGGGCGTATATTTTTCTAATATAAAATTGTTACAATTATTATTAAAGATTGCTCATTATTTATTACATGTTAAAATATGTATATTGTCGTGACTGCCCAGATATTGCATTAACGACTTCTTTGTTTCACATTTAACTTGTTTTATCATGATTAGGTTGTTCTTTGATTTCTTGTGCTCACTTTATGTCATACGTCTATACGAGCCTTGTTGAATTTACTAACATTTTCGCCCGTGCGGAACGAATCTGGATTAAGCTCGATTGCCTCCCGTATGGGACTCCAGTGTTATGAAGGATCTTCCGAAATCTCAACTATAGCTGGATTGCCTCCCGTATGGGACTCCAGTACCTTCCGGCTCTGCCGGCTAACTAACACCAAACCTCTTCAGTTTTACTTGGAAGTGTGTATGACTAATATGAGGTAACAGATGACATTTAGTGACACATTAAATGAGACAGGTCTTATTTATCATTAGCAAAGGTTCTTAATTTATACCTTTGGTTAGCGGTTGTTTTGTATTTATATTTGGGTGGTAAGAGCAACGATCGTGGGTTTCTCTGCCATGCTCTTTCCCCGCAGGAGCTCTAGGTGAGCCTGGCACTCTCCTTTTATGTTTAATGGTTGTTAATGTTTTGTTGTTCTTTCTATTTGTCACATGTTTAATTTGAATTGTATGTAAATAAAGGTTAGGTGTATTTACTCTGCTTTTGTTTTATATAATTAAACCATACAAAGTTACACATTAAACCTCTACAAAGTTAGTAGCCAGTGCCTTCCGGTCAATTAAAAAATAGAAACATACAACGTAGGGATTCCTTATGACGATCACATGTTTTTGGCCACAACTACGTTTACTTATTTTTTGTCGAACCTAGGGTTGTTATACTACAACATAGTTGTCATCAAATGTAACATTAATTATATCTACTTTTTTTATCTATACTGTAGTTGCAATCAGCTACACCGAAATAGCCCTTTTGAAGTTCTGTTAAATACATTTGTAGCTACCATCTGCACACAAAACTTCTGGCTTGGTTTTCCTATTTCCACATAATTTTTAAAGGTCCTCATATTCGTGGTACACTTAATTTTCAATAATACTGTCTTCACAGATTCCATCAGTCGACCCTGCTATCATGGGATAGTTTTTGCAAAAAATTTTCCTCACTTCATCCTCCAACATCCTATCGCGTTTCATGGCCTTGTTCCATGGCTAACGTTTCCTGATTATGGTTTTGGTAACACAAAACTAAGTAACTGATGGTTGGGGAAGACAAAATATTTAAACTAAGACAAATACTGCGGATATTGTCGAAGTACAAATGAAGCAAAATGATATTTACATAGATGAGACGTAATTCGCTCTGATTGCTGTTCAACCTATCATGGCGGTTTGCTGTATTTTGTGGTTTTATTTTATCAAAAATAAATACGTTTTTTATAATTCATGAATCATATTTCATTAGATAAATACATAATTCATGCCTAGGAACAGACATTAATTTTTAAACTGATATTGCAGAAAATAACTACTATGTGGCTTAATATGTTATTTTTGATACCTTTTATACAGACATGGGTTAAATATAGATGTTCAGGAGAAAACTACTCTGCGAACTAATGGTTTGATCATAATTGACTCATTTATCAATAGAAACCACCAGACATATACCAGCTTCAAAGTTATTTGTTGCCTAGGCCTTCATTTAACCAAACCTGGCAGGCAGCTTAAATTCTAGTGAATTCGAATTTACATTCACTTTTTAATAACTTGATTGGTAAGAGTATTTCAAAGAGATAGCACACTACAAACTGCTCATATATTCTTTATTTCTCATTTTTAGATTGTCTATTTTTACTCAAATGACTCTTTTTTTAAACATTCATAACGCATTTTTTGGGTGGTAAATACCAATTTCTATGGTACTTTTCTATGGAATTATTTTAGATTTAAAAAATTTTGAATTAAAACATTGTATTGGCGACTGACGACTTTAAAAACCACCGAACAAATTTGAACCATAATCTTCAAATGTTGAATGCTTTTCCGATTTTTACATCCGCTATATTGGATAGGCCATCTCATATAATAGAAAAATATGTTACTTATTTATGTATGTGCAACCTTTGTATGTATTTGGTATTTTTTTTTTGTAGGGCTGTGTAATTTTAAGGATACAGAAAACTTAGCAACATATGTTTTATACTCTCTCAGTAGAATACAACAAATTGGTTCGATGCTTTCTTAGTTGTTCTCTTCCATTAAACACGTTATTAAATTAATAAAAGTTAACAATTTACCCAATTTACTTAAAGAAAAATTAACAATATTAAGGACACTTTCTTTTTATTCTTTGTACATGTTTACAGATAATAAAGTAGTATTGAAATACAATCATTACTTATATTAGGTATAACAAAAATTGGTAAATTATACCTTGACAAAATATTTAAAACAATTTTTAGTTATTTATGTAGTAAGTAAAAACGAGACAATAAGCATTTCTACATTGTAAAAAATTATACTAAATCTCCCTTCATGTAGTGGTTTATTGAAACTATAAAATTGATATGCCTACTTTGCGAAAGTTCCCAAAATTCTTTCCGAGATTAAAAAGCAGCAAAAATATCACATACATATATCATAAAAAATGCTCAAGCGAGATTAATCTAAACATTATCCAAATTCCCTCTCTGAAGAAGAAAAAATATTTTACATAACAAATTTGTATTGCTTAGGTTCTATAAAACAGCAATTCAACTTCTGTACCACTGTAATAATTCCGAGAGTGAATCGGAGCATAAATTATTTAAAACTAACACACCGTTCGGTGTCCACTAATATCAAAACATTCGTAAAGAAAAATATATCATTCTCGTTCTTTACAAAACATCTACCATTGTACATATGTCCGCAATCCCTGTTACTTTACACTTTTCTAAGTCCATAAGGCATGTCGATGTCATCACTAACACATCAATGAATTACTTGGAGGAATCAACTTCCTGTCTAAACGTGTCGTGAGAAAACTGTTAAAAGGATGGCCGCGATGGGAGTCTGCCTATTGATCTAGAAGTTGTCAAAGGTACATTTTTGTTAATATCGACTATTTCTCCTTCAGGTTTATTACTAAGTAGAGCGTCGATGTCTCTGGTCCTTTTAAATTCTTCGAATTTTTTATTTAGAAGACTGAGTTCGGACTTTGATGTGGATGATTCTGGAATCGCCTCTTCAACCACGTTTTCTTCGTCTACTTCCTAAACAGAAAAAAAATCTAGGTCAATAGATGCAGAATATAGATAGGTATGTAGAATACAGTAAATATAGTAAAAATAATAAACACTAATTTTGAAATACTCGTATTTATATTATTGATACAATTAACAATGATTTAAAAAAGCTTTTGGTCGCACATTTCAAATACTAAAAATACTATTACCATTCCCTACAACCTGAATTATAATGAAGTCATAAATAGTTTTCCTGACATTGCTAAATCCTTTAATAATCTGTAAATCAGTACTTATTAATGAACCAGTAATGTTATCCATCAATATCAATTCGTTGAGTTTGGCAATCAAAGAAAATAACAATATTTGGCAAATTTTTATTACATCTTGTTGCAATTATATTATTACATCTCTTTTTATAATACAAGTATTTAATAAATGTGTTACAGAATATTGTTTTCCAGATAAATGAAAACTTATTAAATTTGCAGACGTATTCATATAACATGAGGTAATTAATTATATGTATGCATGAATATTTTCAAATTTCAACCACCGTTTCTTAGTTTGACCTTCAAATAACCTTGATCCTGACGTGATAGAGCTTAACCGACCTCGGCATCAGAATCAACGACCCCAAAAACCCCAGGTAGAGGTAGAGTCCAGTAACTAGGACAGATATTTTAGTGGTAGATCTAGCACCTTTCGTACAATTCGTCTCCAAAAAGATAATTTATATAAAATTAATCACAACAATTTTGACCAAAAAGTAGAGTTAGATTACTTTTACTAGAGACCGAATTACCTTTCAACACAAGTTTAGTATAGCTTCCAATATTGTTAAAGATTGTTAAGGATCTCAGGTCATATCGGGCAATAAGTTGTTATTCGGTTAATCGCGACCAAATTTTATTCACATAGTGTACATTTATCTATTTCTCTAGGAGCAACGCTATTCTCATAGTATTTGACGTATTCCTAGCGTGACGGAAAAAAGGTGTCGTGACTGAAAAATTTTAAAGCTGTGGATAGCAATCACAACTAAACCCATTTTTTATCGACTACATTGGTGACCTATATATTAACTGACACACGCTCGTGATTAAATTGTTTTATCTATAGTAATTCTGCTTGTTGTCTTTTTTGACTACCCATATTAATTTTATATACAATGCAAACAGCACTTGTAATCTCCGTCTGTTAACATCAATTTATGTCTAGGATAGTCCCATCCCCGTACGCTAGCTATTAGCCTTATACTAACAGCTAGTCACGTACTGGAAATATATCAATTACACTAAATAAATACTTAACCATATTAGAATACTTTATTGTCTATTTTGGTAACAAATATTGGACGTACCTGTATCTCAGAGAAAGTAACTGGTTGCGTTCTGTACCTAGAAGACCCTCCTCTTCTTTTCTTTGGCACCACCCTTCTGTGAAGCCTTGACATTGGTTCAGGATACACTGTATCCATGGCTGAAATTTTACACTCACTTTTAATCCATATGACAAATCGCAGGCAAAAATACATAGAAATAAAAAAAGTTCAAAGTTATACTATCTCGGTAGCTACTGTTATATGTATATTCCTCAATTGGTTATATTTTTTTTATACAAAAACTTACGTATATGAAAAATGCTTTTCTAGAGAATAATCCAGAAAATCAACTTATTTGCTTTTAGAATATTAGAATTATTTGTTCATTAAATTCAAGATTTTAATGAGATTTACTATTTACAACAAATTGGGAGGGATACAGAAAGAGTTGACTATTATGAAAGTAAATTATTATTTGCAATATTTACATAAAGCGAACGATTATGTCTCAAACAATATTTTAAAGGATAAAGTCATTGTTTTGTTGATTTCGATAGAATTTTAGGAGATAAATGAGGTATTTATATTTTCAGAAAGATGTATAACTAAAAATCATAATTATGTATATGTTTTTCATCTTCCAGCTTTTAACATCCAATTTTAGGAAATAAAACAATTTCAAATTGGGGCATTGTCATAATTTTGAATTAAGCATTTTTTTCTTCCATTTAGATTTATTCATTTAACTGGGAGAAAAAATAGAAACTAAATTTTTATCTCGACGTTTGTAGGGTTATTTTATTTATAAAGTTTCCCCCTAAATTGCACCTTCTAAATTTAATCGCACATATTTTTTACACTGTATACACACATGTATGATTTATTTGAATATGTAAGCTTTGATTCAACAAATATAATTTTACGTGGATATCAGAAAAAATTCATGCCCTTAAATTTTATCTACCCTTGAAATGTGTAACGCTCTTATCGAAATACACATCGTTAAAATATATTTGTTTATTGGGGAATAATGCCAAAATTAATCAATAAATTTTCATTTGTTACCTCTACAAAGAATTTTATTAAGCATAATTTATATACATGAAAAGCAACTTTCTAACAGTTCCTGGAAACATAACATAATTATGTTTTCACAATACATCAGCTAAGGTTCAATGAATTATTTTGATTGTCCTTGAAGTTTTGTGCCGTTCAACCCTTAAGTTGTACAAAATGAATCTAGGTAGTTATTTGTTTTTTTTCCTAATCATTAAATGGTTTTAAACCGATTTAAAACGTTTTGTACTTCAACTGTTTGGTATTTGTTCCGAGTTTAATTAAAACAAAAAATAAGTCAGGTGGATCATAATCCGGAGATCGAGGTAGCTACTGGTCCCCTTCTCCGAATCCACTTGCCGATATTGCATTTATATGTTGATGACGATGATGAATGTTGATTCGCAGAAAGGATTCTGTAAATGCATATCTTTTAGAAGAACTTTGACATATCGTTAACGAGTAATGAAGAATAATTGCCTAGAAGCTTTAAAAGTCTGAAGTATTGAAGAGGTGCTTTTTAGGATGCATGCTTGTAGGTAAAAAAAGTCACATTTGTACCTGTACAATTCACCATTTTATTTTTACCAAAGGTCCTATTATACCCCTTATATCAATAGGTATAAATACACTTCATCGCGGGTAACATTCATAAAATTCTGAGAGGAAACAGTGTGAGACAATAATGCGATTAAAATTAATATCCGGAAATAGATTAATGTTTACGTAGATATACCTAAGTACGTAATGAAATCTGTTTACTTTCACTTACATTTTCTAAACTGTTCGGGTACGATCTACTGCACCTTGCATGTAGTGGAAATCCTATAGATTCTATTGTTTAAAAGGATTTTTCCAAATTCTGATTCGTTTCAATCTTTAACTAGTAAATTCTTTATATTTCCTTATATATTTATTTGGGTCGCACCTTAAGATATTTCTGTTAATTACTCGAACCTCACAAACCACGAAGTATTTCACAAATTTCGAACAATACCACATGCGAACCATGCCCACTCCACGTCACACTTTGCCAGATTTTCAGGCGCGCTGGATAATTCTCGGAAACACACAGAACGTTGACTCGCTAAAAATAAACAAATGCACCTATCTGTCTATTCTCTTAGACATTCGAGAACTAAATCACGCAATTTTATTTTGATCGCTATGGTAAATTAGTTATGGTTGAAAAAAGTCGGCCACGTAGTTCGCAGGCTGACTGAACTCGGTTTAACTTTCTATTTCGCACTTAATCAATAATAAATTATTGTTTAACACAGATAAATTAGTCCTCCAAATATAATTATACGTTTTCCTGTACTTTCGTGGATTTACCATCATCCATGTATAAGTCTAAATTAATTAATTTAATGTTGAAATAGTATTTTAAGCACACATGCGTAAATGATTCATTTATTATTTTGTTACTCTGTTTTTTTATTGGTGCCAAAATATAGTAAGTATTTACACGAGTCAAATAAAATAGAACAGTCCACAAAGTAAGAGACTGAGAAAATTAATATGGAATACAAAGAAAGTATAAAGCAATAAAAAAGTAGGTACATAGTCAAAGTAGGACTGAAATAAGAATGTTTGTTGGTTGTTCGAAGACCTCCGTTATCCCCTATTAAAGTGTTTGCAATTTAAACGTTTAATTTTAATAATTCATGTTAGAATAACCAATAAAAAAATACCATTTCTGATTTTCGTACATTTTAAATAAGGGTTTTGTATAAGTATCATTGCTTTTGGGAAAGTCACAATGACTTTCATTCCTCATAGTATACTTTTCTATATTTTTTTTATGTGTAATAGACATTTAGAGTGTATCGACAATACTGAGTTTTACGAATTTTGTCTACAATCTATATTTAAGTTCGGTTATTATCATTATGGCTTTTCTTTGTAGAGCAAGTACATCTACAGTTGAAGTAGAGTAGCCCTATATGAAAGACAGCATAAGACATTACAAAGTTATATGAGGCTCTGAGAAGCTGTTTTCAATGTTGGTAGCATTTTGGATATTTTCTTACATACGCAATTAGTGTGACAATAATTTTTCAAAATATACCCCTAGAAATGTAATTGAATCTGGAATCAGGTAAATTTTTGACATAATTTAACATCGATACAAACATGTTGATGTAGTATTGTTATGTATAATATATTGTTGACCAGTACCGAGATAGAAATACTGTATAAGACCAACATTGTAAGCTTTGAAACCAAATTATTTTTTTTCTCTTCTGTTTTGATGTATAAAATATATCAAGATTAGATTGGAAATTAAAATTGAAATTTCACGCTTTTTTGCACTATCAAGCAAGTAGATGTTACAACCAACCAGTCAGCAAGAGTACCCTTTCTAGATTTCTAATAAGATTGCACAGTTTTTGAAACTAGGACATCCTGAAACATATACAGGTCATTCATTCCGAAGAACATCGGCAACGTTACTGACTAATACAGGTGTTGATGTATTAGCAATCAAGAGACATGGTGGGTGGAAATCAGCCGCCATCGCAGAAAGTTATGGTGCTGACAGTTTAAATAACAAATATGAAATAGCCAACAAGATTCTTTACAATGATATTTCAACTCCAGATTCTAGTAGTAGTAGTATCATGCTGTTTTAATAGATCAGTCAGATAATATTGAGTCTCCGGTGACCGAAATGGAGCGGTCAAATCATTTTGATAAAAATGTGACAATTAGTAACTTTATATAAATTATATAGAATTGTACCTTGTGGAGAAGAATGAAGAGTTTTAAACGAACTACTCTATTATTTTATTTCTTAGTATTTTTATGTACCTACGTAAGTACTTAAATAATAATAGTTTTATGAAATTGCGAATGTAAGTCTTTAATTTAACCGTACACACTATTTACTTATTTATATCTAAGTGTGCCAAATATCAATCACCTGACTCATTTAAAACGTCGAGTTGAAATTTCCAGACATAACTAAACACTAAATAGTACATATTTATTTTACAAAGATCTTATACAAAGTATCAAAAATACTCCTTTACTTATTTTATGTATTCTTCTCGGTTATAGAATAGATAAAATTAGGTTTATAGCATCAACTCAGCATAATTAATTGGGAACGATAAAAAATTTAAAAAATCCCAACTGATCGAATCATAAAGAAAAAATGAAAACGTAATTTTTACTAAGATTTCTCATGATGATGTAAAAGTTGAAAACAATTTTTGCTCTCGATAAATGCTCTGTGATAACTCAGTATCAGCTTGAAAGATCATAAAACTGTTCGTTTTACTTGACATATAGGTAAGCATTTTAATAATTACTTGACGGTATTACATTTTTGGAAATTGAATAAAAATATAGAAATATTTGTATTATAAATTACTTTAATTTCTTGTTAAACATCTCTGAAAATTGTACTGTGACTACAACTTTCAAGAATAAAGACGAACAAGTGACGCAGGTATGACCCATATTTTTGAGACAGGATGATTCCGAGAAATATTGTATGAAATACTATTTTCATGCTTGCTATAAATCTCTAAATACGTAGCAGAACAATGAAGACAAAGCGCAGCTACAGTTATAAAAATATTATGGTCAACCAACTTTTAACATTATTTGTTACAAAGCCATTGTTTTATGTGATCAATTACCTAAATCTTGACTGTTTCAGGAATATTGAAACTTATGAAATATTTTTCGTCCCACTTAGATGGATTGATCGGTTGTTGTGACATCACATTTTAAAATTATTTTTTAAATCGATATTCATATCAGTACAAAGAAACTAACAAATAAATGAATGTATCAAATGAATTGAAATATAATTTATTATTTTTTGTTTTCTTATCAATGTTAATAATCATGAGAACAATTGGTTGTGTTTTTAAAAAATTAAAAGAGCGTAATTCTACGATATTTATGATTTTTTTAAATAACTATACTGAAACGAGATAATACGCATTTCTGTTTCATAAAAAAGAATCGGAATGAGAATTCTGAAGAATGTTCAGGATTTTTTTTACCAAATAAAACCCTTTTTGCAGGTTTCCCAGTATTTTTTTGGATTTATTGCTTTGACAGTTTGAATAATACAAAAATGTTCTTATCCAAAAAAGTTGTATCAAATCAATATTTTCAAATTATTTTCGATATATTGATCAATGTTGCACTATTTTCCTGATATTTATCATTCTTTTTAATTGACGTTTACAGTGATACAAAGTAAACAATTAAATAAATAAATTTATTAATAAAAATAACATGGAAACAATCGTTTGTATTCATAAAAACATTAAAAGGGAGTAACTCTACGATATTTATGATTTTTTCTATTTCGATATTATGTATTTGTGTTTATTTATTTATTAACTTGTTTAAAGTGAGCTTTGAAATAACTATACTGAAACGAGATAACAAGCATTTCTATTTCACAAAAAAGAATGAGAATCCTGAAGAATATTCAGGCTTTTGCTTAGCAAATAAAACTCCTTCTGCAAGTGTCCCAATATTTTTTTAACGTCTTATAGAATAGAAAAAATCAAATACGTTGAAGAACTACCGGACTTTACAACTACTTTACTTTACTTTCTCAAGAACTTTAGTTTCGATATAATATTAAGTACGGTTATTGCTCATGTTCGAGCATAACTGGGTCTGTAGTAGATAAACTGGGCTATTTAAAAATCTAGTCTAAATAAACATACAATAACTTTTTTCATAAAAAATTATGTTTGTCTTCACTCTGGGTATTTATTAGTGTTATAAATCATCACTCATAAATTAATAACGTACCTATTTTTACTGTGATTTAATAGTGTTTGAAAATTCTTTGTAAGTACTGGTAAAATTATTTTATGAATCAGATATTTCGTGCGCATGTCTACATACAGATCATTTCTAAGACATGGTGTATGACTGAAATAGGATTATAGGAAATGTCATGTTAAACAAACAAATCCATGTTCATGATCTTAAAGTGACATTTCCTTCACAATATGCTTACAGTCATAAAAAGGGTACATTCAAATTGAAATTTAATAATCTTGATCGCCATCATACTATGGTGGCCATTATACTAACAAGTAATTAGTAATTATTGACTATATAAAATATCTCTGTCCAATAACGTATTCTTCCAAGGAAACATTCTGTATTTTTGTTCTAAGACCACACTTGATAAAGTATTGTTTTCAACTTACAATAAAATGAGTAGGTAGTCCAGTCACTGTAGGCGAAAATAAGGTAAAAGCTCCCAATTTTTTCGGATAGCATGGGTTTTCTTGAAAATTTGCATACAAGTTCATCTGACCCCCCACTTCAAAAGTTATATTGTCTAGATGTGTGCTTTTTTCTATTTGGGGGTGAAAACTACCCTTGTACGAAAAAAATGCGAAAATCGCAGATTTACGTATTTTAAAGATTCAATTCATGTTGGATAAAGTTTCTTTAATTAATTACTTTTCAGCCCTTAAAAATCCTTAAAAACTACCATTTCATGGTCAAAAAATAATAGAAAAAAAAAGTTTTTAACAGTTTAAAATATTCTTTTTGTGCATTCACAATGTGTTGCATTTCTTTTGTTATTCATTAGAAAGCTTACGACTCATTACAAAGTTGCAACCCTTAAAAACCATCCCTTATAATAAAATAAACAAAAAAATATTATTGAAAGCTTGAGATGTTTTAATGGTATGCATATGTTGAATTATAAACTTTTTATTGGTATTCAAACGATCTATGATATATTGCAACTTTTCGGCCACCCAAAAAACCTTTATGGAAGACCTACTCCTCATAAGAAATCCTACCCCCTATAGAATTTTTTTATGAAAGCACTGCATTGCATGTAGCGCATGCACTTTATCTAAATAATGCTGCTAACCTGTGCGTATACAGAATTTCGCCCTAAATTCGAGGCCTCGGCCAATTTCCGAATGTACACATACATATACAGGACGTTGAAAGCAATCTCTTTGCTATTTAATTACCTTCATTTTTGCTTATGATAATTTTTTGATAAAACTTGTAGTTTTTGATATATTCGCGAAAAATGGCTCAAAAGCATGCATTTTTTGGGCTAAAAACGAACATGTTTAGGCGCAAATAACTCAAAAAGTATTGACTGTACAAAAAATACTTATAGAACATTTTTTGCTTAGAATTCGTCGCTCTATCGAATCGTGAGGTAGTTTTTAATAATAAAATTCTCACCC